AAGGAACGGGCCATTGCCGAGGGCAAAATTACTGTCAAGGAGGTGCTGAAAGTAGAGAAAGACCTGGCCATTGAGAGAGAGGTGAATGAGCTTCGGCGTCAGTACGAAGATGAGAAATCCAAGGGTCGTTCCAACGAGCGGGAAAAGGCTGAGCTGCTCAGGAAGATCCAGCTGCTGGAGGAGGAGAACGCCAAGGTGGTTGTTCAGGAGAAAGTGCGTGAGATTGTGCGCCCAGATCCCAAGGCTGAAAATGAAGTTGCCAACCTTCGTTTGGAGCTGGTGGAGCAGGAGAGGAGATACCGAGGTGGTGACGAACAGCTGAAGAGCTGTCAGAATGAGTTGGCTGCTCTGAAGAACAGAGGGCCACTGGTAGAAGTCAAAGAGGTCATTAAGGAGGTCATTAAGTACAAGAATGATCCAGAAACTGAAAAGGAGCTACAGCGACTCCGGGAGGAAATTATAGAGAGAACAGGAGCAATTGAAAGAGCTGACCTTGAGATCTACCAGCTGAAACAAGAGATACAAGCTTTGAAAGATACCAAACCTCAAGTGCATACGAAGGAAGTTGTTCAAGAAATTCTGCAGTTTCGGGAAGACCCCAAGACTAGAGAGGAGGTAGAGTCTTTGAGAGTGCAGCTAGCAGACGAACAGATGAAACACATCGACCTGGAGAGGGAGCGGCTACTCCAAGAAGAGAAAGTAAAACAGAAGGAAGAAGAACTTTCCCAGGTGAAGGAGAAAGTGGTCCAACAGGAAGTAGTGAAGTATGAGCAAGATCCTGCCTTGAAAGCTGAGGTCAGCTCCTTCTCTCAGAGCATTGAGAGCGAGCTGAAGCAAATTGATGGCCTCCATGAAGAACTCCGCAAGCTGCAAAGGAGGCGGTCTGAGCTAGAGCGTCAGCTAGAGGAACTTGAGAAAGAGAGACAGGCCCGCAGAGAGGCTGAGCTGGAGGTGCAGAGGCTGAAGATTAGGTTAACGGAGTTAGAAGAACAGGAGAGGGAGACAACAGAACGAGTGACTGTGAAACAGAAAGTGATTCTTCAGCAAGATCCCCAGCAAGAGAAGGAGCATTCCCTCCTCAAACTGGAGCTAGAAGAAGAGAAGCACCGGCGACAAGTCTTGCAAACTGAACTAGAAGCCCTGAGGAAGAAGCTCGTTTCTTTGGAGAAGATGGAGGTCAAAGAGAAAGTGGTCTTTTCAGAGAGTGTCCAAGTGGACAAAGGAGACACGGAGTATGAGATTCAAAAGCTGAAGAGCAATCTCGAAGAAGAAAGTAGGCGTAAGAGGGAGCTAGATGCAGATATCAACCGCCTTGAAACTAGGCTGTCTGAGGTGGAATTCAACAACTCCAAGTCGTCAAAGGAGCTAGACTTACTAAGGGAGGAAAACCACAAACTGCACCTTGAAAAACAGAACCTGCTGATGGAAACAAGGAGACTACAGTCAGAGATTGAACTCACAGCAACAGAAGCTCGGGATTTGAGAAACATGACCCATGTGGACAGTGGAATAAACCTGGACTCCAGATTCCAAGCTTTGGAAAGAGAGTTAGATGATCTGAAACAGTTATCCAGAGAAAAAGACGCAGAGATTGAGCAACTCCAGAATCGCCTCAAGACAGTGGCTATCAAGAGGGAGCAGAGAGAGAACCACCTGAGGCGCTCCATCGTGGTCATTGACCCCGATACAGGAAAAGAAATGTCTCCAGAGGAAGCTCATTTGTTTGGCCTCATTGAATGGAGCCTGTTTGTCAAACTGAAGAGTCAGGAATGTGACTGGGAGGAGATCTCAATAAAGGGTCCCAATGGAGAATCATCCGTGATCCTCGACAGAAAGTCTGGTAGAGAGTTCTCAATTGAGGATGCCTTGAAGAATGGAAGGCTAACCATGGCTCAGTACAACAGTTACCTCAACAAGGAGATGTCGATCCAGGAGCTGGCTGTCTTGGTGTCTGGAAGTAATTACACAGCGCTCCCTCCACTTTAGAAACTTTTCTTAAGGGCAGCTAGTCAGAGCTGCACCCCTTGTTAGACTACCAGATCACTGCAAATCCTTGCCCTCCTCTGCATCTTCCAAAATGCTAGAGCCTCTGTCCCAGCCGTGCTACGAAGCCACACTGCTTGCTGTCATACACTGCAGAAAAGCACCACCAGTAGCAGAAAACACATTTGTCAGGACTACAGCGAAGCCTTCTCCCCCTCTTCATCCCTACTTAATCACTCAACCTAACAAAAACCAAGACAAAAAGCCTTAGGACAGTGAAGTACCTGAAGTCCAAAGACTCAGCAGAACCTGCAGTTTCTTCAACATATACTCACATAGTCACATAACAAGCTGTACACAGGATTTGTTAGACTGAAGGTCAAGATGACTCCCAGGTGACCACCAGGAGCTGGTTATGTCACCTGCATGTTGGTAAGCCAGATAGTTTCATTGTGGACAACTGACTAAGTGATGGGATCATCTTCCCAAGAAAACCAGCTCTATAAAAACAAAGGTGTGCTACACACCTCAATTCAGTATCACCTAAACACCATCATCTTGTTCACCAATGTGTCTATGCTGCTGGGGAAGAGTGAAGCAGATGTAGTTTGATAGCATCAGCCGTAGATCCAGGAGGAGCATTCGTATGCCACAGAGGTCACCAAGAAGTACGTGAAGAGATGGCAGAACTGCCAAATGCAAGAGGGTAATGTAAAGCATGCAGCTGTAACCAAATGCAAAGTGCCTTCGAAACAGTTAGCTTACCTCATGGTTAAAAGCCATTTGTGCTGGTATTTTACTGGATGGAGTTACATGCAGCTACATGTTTCATTTACTTATGTAAGGGAATGGGAAATAGAGGGAAATTCTATTTATAGTACAAAATAAAAATGCAGTGGTTCCAATCATTAGTTGGTTTTTCTTAAATACAGCGGTCTCTTGATCTTTGGCTTTGCAGAAGGATGCCATTTCAGAGTGAAAGTTTAAAAAAAAAAAAGAGACTGTTCATTTTAGCTTTTGACTCTTTTCCAATAGAGAAATTGCTGGAGCAGCATTAGAGTTGGCACTAATTAGCAGCATTAGCTGGGAGTGAACAGCACTAACAAATGGGGCTGCAGCTGCAGGAAAACAGGGAATTACACTGGGATGGTACCAGGGGCTTCATTTCCTTTTTCCCAAATTTCAGCTAATACCCAAACCCCAGTAAACTCTGCCGTCAGCAAAAGCAGCCATAAGTACTCACTGCACACCCATACTGGCTTTGGGAATTAACCTCTGTATTTTACCTTTGTAAGTGAAAGGACCATGCAGGATCACACCACTGCTTTAGGGTCTGAACCCCACATGTTCTTTCCAGCAGATGTCAACTTCAAGCATCAGCAGGAGCATTTTGAATGAGCATATGCAATTCTACCACCACAACAGCTAGAAACAGAGTTGTAATTTACTGATCACATAAGAGACTTTAGTTAAAACAGTAAATAATTCATTACTCGAGAAACAAGATGATCAAGAGGTGATCATCTAAGCTGAAAGACACATTCTTGAAAACAAAGTCAGGAAACTAGAGGTAAGGAGATGGAAAAAAGCATTTTGGAAACTTTGAAACAATTTATTCAGTTGTTCTGTACAAGATTTAACAGTTTTCATACCACCCCCACTATCTTCAGCAAGACAGTCCCAACACACACCAAAAAAAAAAAAATAGTAAACCACAGCTCTTACACCCGAAAGGAACTGCCATACTAAGTGCGTGCCATGGGAGCCTCGCCTCCCCACGCTGTCACGAAAGCGTTGCAAGTTGCCTCGCCAAGGCAGAGCTGCCAGACTCCTGGCTCCCCATCAGCTGTCGGGTCTCGGTGTGGTTCTGCCTTGCTGCGACTCTGCTCTGTACCATTCACTCATTCATTATAGCATGTAAAGAAAAAATATCCCACAGAATTTCCACCAAATAAACATTTCCCTGAGGCAAGAGGCTTTGCTAAATTCCTAGAAGGAGGGCATCCTGCTCTGGCCATGCACATGGGTGCTTCCCAGCAGAAGCATTCAAGTGAAAGCAAAGAGAGAGTAGAACCAGTACCTCAAGTCACTCGCTGGGAGCCTCCATCCTGCCAGGTATTTGAACCCTCTTTGAGCTACCATGGGAAGTTGAAGGGGCAAAGTACCTCTCAGGATTAGGCCTTCAATGGGAACCATGTGACATCCACTGCTCAGAGTCCATCCATAACTGCTGTGTTTAGTTTTAATAACACAAGGTCTGTCTTTGGCTCTTTTGCTACAACCTAGGTATTTTCTGTAAACAAATTTTAAATCTGAGCTGCTTTTTTCCTTTTAAAATACAAACAGTGCACTGATCTTGGGAAATTATGCATCAGCTCAAATTGAAAACAGTCCATCTTGACCTTACCAAAAACGGGGGAAAACTAGAGCAGGTATTTCCTGGTATACTCTGCGTCAGCATCCTTTCCCAAAGCTCAAGAAGGAAGGCTGCAAGCTTTTGCTTGAAATACGAGTAAAGTCTACATGGATCAGTGCTACCACTACATGATTCAGATGTGGCTGTGGGGGTCTGAGAAAAGGCAGACTGGGGGAGAGCAGAAAATCAACACCCATAATGCTCAGCTGGAACCAAAGCTTGTCCTTAGCTATGTACAGACTGAAAGGGTGTGCTCAGGAGAGGTTTAGAGTCTAAGAGTTAAAAAATTAAAAAGAGAGACACCCCAATTCCAGATGGTCCCCATTCCTGCAGCGGTGACAAGCACATGATCCTAGTGCAGAAATCATTGAGGAGAGCAGTATTACTCTCTGGAATTCATGTGACTGGTACCGACCTTGGTTAATCTAGATCATTCCCTCTGCCCACCAAACAGATCATAACTGATGACCCTAGGAAAGAATGGCTTTAAGGGAGGGCCTGGAACCCACTTGCACAAACTCAGATAAAAACTGGTGCTCTTGCTGGATTTGGTACTGTGTTTGCAGACACCAAGACACCATTGAAGTCCAGACAGTGCAGCTTTTTTTTTTTCTCTGATGTGCAACCATAAAAAGCTCTATTAAATAAAACAGAATACATTTTAAATACAGAATGATAGAAAAAAGGGTCAAGGAGCACACAAAATAGGGCTGAAATGTGTGTCATAGTCCATTCTTGCTCCACCATAAAAGGCACTGGAATTATGTCTTCCTATACATGTGACATGTCGACAAGTGTCCCATTCAATCCAATGCATTCGATGGTAATGAGGATAAAACTGAGCAGGAAAAAAGCATCCCTTTGGAGGAAAAAAAATCCAAAAACCAAAAGAAGTAGAATTCTCAAAGTCGATGACTGCATCTAAAAACATCTCTCTAAAGAGTCTTCCTTCTCCTCCAGAGGGGAACATCAGGCAGTTCATTAGATTCACCACACAGGAAATGTTAAGTCCTCCAATTAACTGTAGCACAGTTTTATACTACAATTGAAGAGTTAGTCAAATGTCTTCAGAAAGCACTGGCAGTGCAAGAATTATCCTAGTAAATCCAAAGCAGAAGAAGCACCTTTCATACCCTCCAGTGGGAGACTAAGGAGGTAACTGGACTTGGGAGGTACCTGGCAGATACAGATGCAGGTGGGTGGGAATCCACTGTAAGAAAGCCAGGCCACCTGAGTCTCCCTGGAAGTTCTAACTCCTGCCAGTGCCCAGGAATGCGTGAAGGGCAGCAGCGATAAAACAGTGCTACAAAACACTCCTCTCATTAGGGCATGGCTCAAGGTGGCTCTTTGCGTGGGGCTCACCTTCAAGAGCCTCTGAGCAAATGCACCAATGAGTTCCTCGTTGCAGTTCAGTCTCTCCAGTTGTCATGAAAAAAAAAGAAAAAAAAAAGACACAGCCGGCATCCAGAGTTCATGTCCTGTTCCTCTTGGGTTTATCCTATGTGTGCTCTAGCTCCCCTCCTTGCAGACGTCACAACTTGCGCTGCTGTGCATTGGACCCTTTGCCGTGAAGCTGAGAAGCATCTGAAAGAAAATAAAACCAAGTGGGAAGTGGGTTTGGCATCAGCTCCATGAAGCTGCGTGCAGCCAGACCTACTTTTCCACTTCCAGCACTAAGGAATCAAGGAATAAGAAGATGAGCTTGGAGACCTCTCATAATCAGGAGCAGCTCTGCCTCTGCACCTGAGTAAGGTGCACAGGAAGCACTGAGGGTCTCCTGTGGCCTCCCAGTAAAGCACCACAGCAGAGATTCAGATTGCTGGTTGACAAGCTAGCCAACATCCTTCTCTAAAAGCCAACCCCTACCATGTCTCCCCATGTAGGAAATTAGAAATACATGGTACTTGCTGCCTTGCATGTAAAGGTGGTTTGAAATAACACCATTAGTACACCTTTGCCGTTGTAACAAGGGCTTTAGGTACCGACTGGTAGCAAAAGGAATCACAGGAATTTAACCACTGAGGTAACAGAAAGGAACAGACATAGAAGGAGAAAAGAAAATGCACTGAAGAAAAAAAAGGAAGTTTAAGGAAGCAGAACTTTTCCAGGAGCAATTAAAACTGCCATCAGACTGCGATGAACAAATGAGCATACTGGGATGTGCGGTTAAGCAACAATGGCACTGAGCAGCACAGCAACAGCTGCTTCTCCAGGACAAGGACAGTTCATCCCATGCAAGAGCTCAGTCCCAGCACAACACATTTCTAAAGCAAGCAGTCAGAATCATCGCCACAGCACCAGCACACGGGCACCTCCACCAGCAAATGCAGTAGTGACAACACACAAGCAAGCACCGGATGCTCTGTGCTCAAACACTTTTTGATGAACGCTGTTATAAGCCCATTCATTTAAGACAGTTTCTTTGCATTTGTAGCCCACTCCCAACAGAAGAGTCTTTGCAGCTTTCAGGCAGAGCAATGCAGCTGTAGCCCTCTGCTTATACAGCCAACAGCAGTTTATTCCACAAAATAAATTAATAAAATTTAAGATTATGGTGGTCACTTATATATCTACTGTCTTCCTCTACAAAACACCACAATTGGTAATATTCCCAGAGGTGATAGCACTAGGCTCAATCCCCAGTCTTTATGTGAAAAGTCCAAGCAAGAAAGCGGGTCCCTGCTGAAGCTGTTGTAACTGTCAGTTTTAGGTGACTTATTCCTACGCACCTTTTGTCTGCTTGCAGCTTCTGGCACTATGTCCTGCCTAAGAGGAGGACTTGCCTAAGTCCATCAAAAAATTTCTTTGTTATAAGCTCTGTAAGCAGCAGTGAAGTAACCACTCTAAATTTCCTCAAATAATGCAACAGAGAACTCCTCCTCAGTGACACAGCATGCATTTCACAGCCCATGCTCAAACCAAAATAAATCATCTCACTTTGCAGCAACTGTGAATTTACAAATGAGAAGAAAGGGTCTGTCACAACAGCGATTGCTGCTAGTAGCTGCTTCTGCTTCACCACATCAGAGTGGCATAACAACCCACCTCAGACAAACTTCAGCAAAAGTAGTAATGACAACCAGTGGGGTAAGCAACTCCCTGAAGCAGATAAGCCCAATCTGCTGGCCCTGCATTTCAGTTTTCCAAATGCTGCATGAATCCCCCTTACTTCTGTCCAACCTCCACAGTGCTACAATATTTACACACACTCCCAGCCCACCAGGCTCCATTTAGGAGCAGAGAAGGTGCTCTTCAGAAATCTGGTTTATGCATTGCTTCTGCAGGCAAAACTGGGGCAGGAACAGGCTTAACTGCAAAATCATCACATCAACACCAAGTAAAGCAGTCTCCATTTACACTACAAACTTGTCACGAAGGAGATGTAAGCAATTAGCTCAGCGCAGATGCATGACATTCTGGTCTGACACATTTTATATAGGTCACCACTAACAAAACTCCACAGAACCAGAATAGTCATTCCTGGGCAGTCCTGGCAGACTGCATAAACATGCACAGCTTTAATCTGAGCAGGCTAATTCTTCACCACGACGCAAGCAGCAAAGCTGAGTATCTCCAGGAACCAACGCTTGCTGTAAGCACCGAGGGCTCATCGTTCCAGAAATGCGCAAGTTTGCCCTGGCTAACTAAACAGGAGAGGACACAGAGGGCTACGCCTCGCTCTGCACCTTGGGGAGGCCACAGGCTTTAGTGACGACCACACCGGTCGGACGACCACTTTGCTTTCACCCCTAGAGGAAGTATCTGCTGAGATACAGGATGACTCACGATGCAGAAGACAAACACGACCGTCTGACAAGTTACCTGGCAAACTTTGCGGTAAATGAGTAGACAGAGCAGAATGTGGGAGTGGCGCTGCATGGTTGGGGCTGGAGTGCAAGCCAGCTAGAAGACCTAGAGAGAAAAACAAAGAAAGGAGAGGGGAAAAAAAGAACAAATACACATTGAAGACAGAAATGAGCAGAAAAGCTTCAGCAGTTAGCCTATAACACAGCTTCCAGCTGTTGGGACCTCTGGATTAGCTACAGGGATGTGCCGAAGGTTCTCCAAGTGCAACTGCTGGAGATGTAAGCGCATGAACTACAGCATGAAGCAACAGCAAGAGAGATGGGTTGGTCTGCAATGGGTTAACACAGCAGAACATTGGTGTTCTTGTTATTTGACAGCACAGGCACAAGTAACACACGTGCATGACCCATAAGACTCACTGTGGCCAAGACTGTGGTGGAAAGTTCCTGGAGCAGGTCCTGTAACTATTGCATCCTTTGATACTCCTGCTTTTGGGGAGGAGTCTGAACTGAAGGAGATGACATGAAGAGGGAAGGAATGAATAGGAGAGATAATACCTAACGGGGTGGAGCTCAGGGCAGCTGGCAGCTTTGGACTGCTGGACTTGTAGGATGGAGCCAGTACACTTAAGGAGGAAGAACTCGTTAGCAGCACAGCTCCACTAGTTCCTTTCTGAAAAGCAACAGAAATAGTCTGTTAGGAGTGGGAAAACAAAAGCATAGCATCATTCATATTTGAAGAACTGAAAAACATAAAGCATTCAAGAATTCACCCTTGCAAGAAGCACCCTCCCAGACAGGGCCCAAGAGCTGCCAACTCACAAAAGATGGCAGGTATGAGCAGCCAAGAACAAATTAATACAACAGCATTAGGAACGATCACTTTTTTGCTATAGATAAAAGTTAAGGCCTTTATACCATTAAATAAAATGACCAAATGATACAAGTCTATCTAGGTAACCCAGGAGGCCTTCACAAGATAATATATCCCAATGAAGTGTCAGAATTCCCTGAATTCCAGAGTGTGTCACTGAGCTCAGCTTCAAATATCACTTCAGTAGCTTGGGGAGCAACAGAGTGTAGACAGAGACAACCACCAAAGAAAGGTGGGTAGGCATTCTGAGTTTATAGCCCAGAATCACAGGTTATTTATGCTATTGGTCAGTCATGAAAACAGTGCCAATAATAAAATCACTTGTGATAATTTAAGGAAGGTCAAGTTTGCAGACCCGACTAACAACAAATTGATCACTGTAATTTTAGTTTATGGAATGAAGTCAGGGCAAGAACATTATACAGCTTATGTAAAAATTGCAGTCTGGAAGGTACCACAGTATTTTGAGGTACTCAGTGACTTTTTTGCCTCAGTCTTCACTGGCAAAGGCTTTAACAACACTACCCAAGTTGCAGAAGTAAAAGGCAGGGACAGGGAAAAGGAAAAACTGCCCACTATACGTGAAGCTCAGGTTCAAGAACATCTAAAGAACCTGAAAGTGCATGAGTTAATGGGACCCGATGGGCTACGTCTATGAGTGCTGAGGGAACTGGTGGATGAAGTTGCTAAACCACTTTCCATTACGTTTGAAAAGCTGTGGCAATCTGGTGAAGTTCCCACTGACTGGAAAAGGGGAAACATAACCCCCATTATCAAAAAGGGAAAAAAAGGAACACTCAGGGAACTGCAGGCCAGTCAGTCTCGCCTCTGTGCCTGGCAAGATCACGGAGCAGATCCTCCTGGAAACTCTGGCAGGGCACGTGAAAAGTGAAGAAGTGATTGGTGACAGTCAACATGGCTTCACCAAGGGCAAATCAGGCCTGACAAATTTGGTCGTCTTTTACAACAGGATTACAGCATCAGTGGACAAGAGGACATCTACCTGCACCTGAGCAAAGCATTCAACACTGTCCCACAGGACATCCTGGTCTCTAAATTGCTAAGACATGGATTCGATGAATGGGCCACTCGGTGGATAAGGAATTGGCTGGATGGCCGCACTCAAAGAGTGGTGGTCAATGGTCAACTCTAACCATTCTATGATTCATTCTATGATTTGGTTTTGTTGTGATTTTAAGCTGAAAATGAACGCTTGAGTTCTGGAGTACAAGCCCATGGCAAAGGCCAGGACTTCCCAGCCTGAGCAGCCAAGATCCAGTCAGTCATTCAAGAATTTCAGGAAATTCTTCTGAAGTCATCACTTTACTGCAGGTCTGAACAAATCAGGAGGTGGCCTAACACAATGCCACACGTTCTCCTGGCTTTAGGATAGGTGAGCACACCCCTGCTTACCGGCACAGAGGTAGAAGATGCGGTGCTGCTAACAACAGCTGGCTTTAGGGAGGAGGTCAGCAATTTGGCCACCCCTTGAGTGCCCCCGCTAGAATCTCCGTTTGAACCTCCAGGAGGTGCCACCAGAGTCAGCTTTTGTGAAACAGACGTCTTCTTCACCGATGAGCTTGAGGATGGGCGGTTGGATGCCTGGCCCGAGGAAGGGGACTGCACACTGGGCAGCATGCTACCAGAGGAACAACCCTGGTTTCCAGAAGCTCCAGATGAGGAGCTGCTGGAAGAAGCCCCATGCTTGGAGAGGGAACCAGAAACGAAGGGCGATTTGTAAGATTGTCCTGAAGAACTAGAGCTGCTTGAGTGCTTTCCTGTGTAGCTGAGAGATGAGGATGAGCCTGGGTTCTTGTGGGAGCTGCCAGAGTTTTGGGTACCACCTGCTGACGCAGAAGAATGGAAGCTCTGAGCTTTGGTTGATGACTTGACCTGCTGGAGGAGGGAGCGCTGGGGCAGTAGGGAGGACGACTTGGGATTCTGCAGTTTGACAAACGGAGCCGGGGAGGTGAAAGTTTTCTGTAGCTGGCTGCCTGAGTGAAAGACCTTCACCTGAGAACCCGGCACTGGGGTGGAGGTTTGAGGCCCATGGCTTGGCCGGACCAGGCTGTGGTGTTTCTGTTTAGCTTGATGTGCATCAGGAAGGATTTTGTTGGGGGAAGCTTGGCAGGAGAGCTCTTTGTAATTAGAGTTCTCTGTCTTTTTGTCTTGAGAAGACTGGCCCAAGGCCAGGGCTTGCTCAGCCAGGAAATTTAGAGGAGACTGGAGGGAACCAGAGGAAGATGTAGGGGAAGGGTTGGACTTTGGAAATGTCCTCTTCTCCTCTGGGGATGCAAGATTTGGGATCTTCTCTGGTGGAGCCTTTGGAGCTCCAGGAAGAGTAAAGTCAGGGCTCCCTCCTGCTCTGCTGTTCAGCACAGCCAGTTCCTTAGAGACAGCTTCGAGGGAGGAAGTGGGATTATGAATTAGGTCCTCATCCAAGGAGTTATCCATGAAGGTAGCAGGAGTGCCAGTGCTGCTGGCTGCTTGAGCTGCCCCAAGGGACAGGAGTTCTCTGGTTTGGGCACTGATGCCCAGAGCTCCTGTCTGAGGCTCTGAAGACAGAGCTAAGGTGCTGCTTGAGTGCGTTGAAGGAACGGAAACAGGCATCTTTTTATCTGGCTTGCAGGAAGACTCCTGGAACAAAAGCAAAATTGAAGACAGAGTCAGAGCAGAGTCAAGTTTTACTACTGAAAATGGAAGGGAAGTTCTAAATTTGGGGATAAAAGGCAGAACTGGCACGTTCTGTGTCTGCCAACCCCCCACCTCCCCCTCCCAACTGCTGCTGCCATCAGCTTTAGCTGCTGTTATAGTTGTTTTTTCAAATCCAATACTGACTAGAGCTGTCTCACAGTACAACTTCCTTATACCTAATGTACATACACAAGGCTCAAATAGAGGATTTAAGATGGCAGACACTTGACTCTTGGTGTATGTCAACTGCAAGAACCAGAAAACAAAGAACTCACCTTCACTTTCACCTTAGTAGGAGCTATAACTTTCTTCTTCACCCTGTTTTAAGGGAGACAAAAGAAACATGGCTCACTGAATGCCTTTCAGGAAGCATCTGATTAGGGAGCACACCTGGGCCCTGTTAATGATGATCCACTGAGACTTTTGCAAAGAACTGAGGGAACAAAGGCAGCATCTCAGGTTGCTAGGATTCAAAACCGTATGACATTTGTTGCTGCTCTAGGAAGCCACAGCTCCCACACAGGGGAATGAATTAGGGAGCAGAGCAGAGTCTTGAAATGGCAGCAGAGCAGTGAAAGCACTTGACAGACACATCCTGCACCAGCTGCAGGGCCAGGAGCTGCTACAGGAACCCACTGCTTACCTAACTACAGCACCCAGAGAGAGACTGATACAGAGACTGTTTTGGAGAACAGTTACACATTTCTTTCAGGTTCCCAGAAGAAGTCAAGGATGCAAAAGCATCTGCCAAATTCACAGAAAATAGATCATCTGGTCTGGTCAGATGCAATTTCTGGTACCCAACATCCCTGAACTGCTGGAACAGTATGGCTGAGGGAAGGATGACTCTACACTATTTTATAATAACTCTCTCACACTTCCCCTCGCTCATCCAGTGCCAAGAACAGGACCATCTGTCAAACAGACATCAGCCTAAGTCTGTATCATCATCTATTATAGACTGCCAGCAAGATCCATGAGAGCCGTTGGCATTAAAACACCTGCCCAGCTGGATTCCAATGGCTCTCTTGGTTTGCCACCCACAACCTGTCACACCCACCTTCACTCACTTGAGCTCATTGTACCCCATCTTTAACCAGGCAACAAGGAAGAGGGAATCCAGAATCCAGTAAGGACCGACTGAACAGGTAGCAATAATCACAGTGCTGGCATCACACTCCATTTTACCTTGATCTGCCTCCCAGGGACTAGCAGAGAGGCTCAACTCCAGTCTGTTGAACAAGCCAGAAGGCAGCCTGGCTTCAAAGTTCTTATCTTTGAGCTTACTGGAAAGCTAAAGCACCTCAGGAAGGCTGTTGTTGGGAGACATCACTCACAAACAACTACTCTCAGTACACCTCCCCAAATGAAGTAGTGCCAAACTATCTGATGGAAGCCAAGCAAGCTCAGGTGCTCCTGGCATGATCCACCCAGGCCCCAGGGAACAGAGTTCACCAGTTATCACTCTAAAGGAATGCTGCACGATACTCACAGGACTGATGTGAGGTGTCCGTGTACACGCCTGCTCTCCTTAAACAGTGTCCTAAGAAGGGAAGAGAGCAATGAGAAGTGATATCCAGCAAGACCCAGTAGAGCAGCCGGGATCACTGGAGACAGAGCTGCACAGTACAGCAGGGGACTTAGTGAAATTAAAACCACAGAGAGCAAACAAATATTCAT